TTACAATCGTCCCTAAACTTTCAAGCAAATTCCAGCACTCTAAAAAAACAAAAACAAAAAAACACCAGTAAAAGTATTTAAATTGAAAAAACAACAACATAGTCTACAACAGTAGCTTCGTTAACTTAAAACAATCTTGATCATTTAAAAAAGGCCCGCCATGGCCAGGTGGTTAGGGCACTCTACTAGCAATCTGTGGGTCGCGAGTTCGAATCCTCGTCATACGAAACATACTCGCCCTTTCAACCGTGGGGGCGTTATTCGTTGGTAACAGAGTAGCCCAATAGTTGGCGGTGGGTGGTGATGTCTTCCTTCTAGTCTTACACTGCTAAATTAGGGTCGGCTAGCGCAGATAGCCCTCGTGTAGCTTTGCGCAAAATCCAAACCAAACCAGTTTTAAAAAATGACATTTATATAAGCAATAAAGTGATACAAAATTGCTTAAAACTTAGTTTCTCATTTGTAAAGCTAGGATTAAAGACAGGTCGTATTGTAAACAATTATATATTGGATAGTAAAGCATGTATAAGTGTGGTTAGGCTAATCTCGTATTATCATATTTTTCAGGTGTAAGCATAACTTTCATAATTTAGATTGTTGAAATGCTGCCAGTGGCACAGTAGTATCTCTGCGGACTTACAACGCTAGTAACCGGGTTTCGATACCCGTGGTGGGCAGAGCACAGGTAGCCCATCGTGTAGCTTTGTACTTAACTAAAAACAAACAAACTTTGTTGAACATACAACACCTGGTAGTGATTAAATGATACGAGTGTTTACAAGTGTGCTTATTGATTTAGTGATTTATTAGTTTCCCCAGTAATTCCTTTTCGATCTTGTAACGACTTAAGTTGTTTGTTACTTATAATATTTATTTTAGATTACTGAAACGAAGAATCGTTTTATTATTTGTCCAACAATTTCGTATTTTATTCGCAGTGTTTGATAGAAAATGATTAAAATTGACAAATTTTTCTCGAAGTCATCTTGACTGTTTCACATGTACATGAGTAAGGAAACTTTTTTTTCTCACATATATAAAGACCACGAAACTTCTAGTTATTTTTTCAAGTGATTTTTAGAAGTAATGATTTGGATTTTATTTGACATCAAGCTTGGGCAGCATGGGGACTGAGTGTTGGCTAGACTAAAGATTGATGGGCTGACATCTACATCTTGTGGGTACTCATACTGTAGTTTTTAAGATGTTTTTAGAATAAAGCACATTGAGCTGAATCGAACCCTGGAATTTAGCACTTTAATTCCATAGATTTACCGCTGTCCCATCGAGGGATATTTAAGAAGTGAACCAGCTTTAACAGTAAGCACCTTTCTTTGGATGCGGGGGCTACAAGGAAGGCTAAGGCACATTTTGGGGTAGCTCCAGCCCCAGCAACCCCTTCCTTACCACCACCCCTGACATCAAGTAAATAATGATTTATTTTTGTAAATTTTTAAAATAGTATTTTTTTTCAAAAGGTAATATATTTATAGCCGATTGTGAATTATACGTTTTTTAAATGCAATCCCAGTCTCCTACGTAAAATTTAAGATGGTACCACTTGAGTTGCGCTTAATCACAGATTAGGGAGATCTATAAATAACTGCCTTAATAAAAAAAATAAGAGACAGTCTTACCTCAGTTCTGGCTGCATATAAGTTACAGGAAAATTGATATAATGCTTTGTTTGTCTGTTGTGCGATTTCGTACAGTAGTAGAGAAAATCACTTGGCCTAGCCTAACTTCTCAAATTACATTTTTTACATATTTCCTCGTAACGTCACGAAGCGAAGTGTATTTAATTACGTTGAGTAACGAATTCTTGGTTTCAAATCGCTTTTTTTTTACACACTTTAGACCTCGGAACATCGATTGACGATTGTTAGAGGTCAACACAGGAGCTGAGTCAAACAATGATCCAATTTCTTTTTTGAACTTGAGTTGACTTTTATAGCTCTAAAAAATAGTTAGAGTTTCATGGTCAGTGTTGGAAAGTCAGAACGCTTGATTTGCTGTTTTGCACTAAATGTCAAGGGGAAGATCCCCCTTTCTCCCCTTTATGTAAGATTTTATTTCGTTCGAAAATATTTGAAACTTCCAAAACAGCTAATTAATTATGAACTTGAGTCAACTTTTATTCCACGTGAGCCTTATCCACAGGCACAAGGTTGTTTGCTAGGAATGTGCATCTTGGGTTGAAAAGTACAAACCAAGTGACCTTACTATGGTCTAGTCTCGTGAAGAATTTCTTTAGGCCTAACACGTGGTGTAGAAATGGATATCTTCTGTCAGTGTCTGATATTGACCATGGAAACTTGTCGCTTGACAGATGTCAACAATGGCTTTCTTTACATGTCATTTGGTGTTTAGTATCTAAACTCAAAGAGATATCTTAGCCATTGTGACACCCAAAAATGCCCAATGTATTTATATACCCTGAATCCAAATCCAAAAAGCTCTTTCCGCGGAATGACATTTTCTTGGAGAAATTTCGCCTTAAAATCGGAAACATTCACCATTAACCATACTTAGGAAAATCACTCCATACTTGCGAATAAGCTAGCGTTGAAAGGCGGTAAAAGACAACGTGTTTTTTGTGTGCAATTTGAAGCTTCAAATCTTTAAAAAGTACTTTATATGACATAATCAATATCTCTGATATAGTTTTATCAAACAATCTATGAAGGAGTAATTTGACAGAAATCGGATCCGAACCTTCAACTTGCACAACAAAACACCCCGGCTCCACTCTTCCCTCCCTTCTTCCCAAAGGAAGGTGGGAATTTTCTTATATATGCTTAATGACCAAAGATCCTGATTTTTCAAGTAAAATACCATATGGGGAAATTGGTTTACAGATTATGATTACGGGCATAAAAATGCATTGGGGAAATATTATTCCATGCACTTTAAAGTGAGACAGTTACCGAGGTATCCGGCTTAACAAAAGCTTAGGATGCTTAATTTAAAAGGGGAGAATAATAACTCTTGAATTAACCATCCCAGTTGTGCCACGTCACATTCTAAAACAATATAGACATTTGCAAAATTTTCTTGATAATTAAGTTATAAATATAATAATATGAAATGCATCTAAAAAACAAAGAATTATGATATACAATAATAGAAAAGGAAATATATCAGTATAGAACTTAAAGTGCATACCTTTGTTAAACCACAGTTAATTTTAGAGCTCTTCTTTTCTTAAGTAAACTGTTTGTTGAATGTTCAGCAAAATTAGCCTTCTTGTGAAACATCAAGTTATTTTCTTATTAAGTTATTTTTTTATGAAACACTATGATTGGCTAGCTTCTTGTGGAATATTATCTTAAGACAGGTTAGCATAATGTAGAATGTTAACATTGGTTAACGCATTGTAGAATATTAAGTTCGCTTTTTTGTCGAATGCGAAGTTAGCTTCTCGTGAAATATCAGGTTAGCTTTTTGTGGAATGTGAAGTTAGCTTTTCGTGAAATATCTGGTTAGCTTTTTGTGAAATGTGAAGTTAGCTTTTCGTGGAATATCAGGTTAGCTTTTTATGGAATGTGAAGTTAGCTTCTCGTGGAATATCAGATTAGCTTTTTATGGAATGTGAAGTTAGCTTCTCGTGGAATATCAGATTAGCTTTTTATGGAATGTGAAGTTAGCTTCTCGTGGAATATCAGGTTAGCTTCTCGTGGAATGTGAAGTTAACTTTTCCTGGAATATGAGGTTAGCTTTTTGTGGAATGTGAAGTTAGCTTTTCGTGGAATATCAGGTTAGCTTGCTGTGGAATGTGAAGGTAGCTTCTCGTGGAATATCAGGTTAGCTTTTTGTGGAATGCGAAGTTAGCTTCTCGTGGAATGTAAAGTTAGCTTCTCGTGGAATATCAAGTTAGTTTTTTGTGGAATGTGAAGTTATCTAGCTGTTAATGGAATGTTAAAGTTATCTTTCATAATGAACTTAGCAGTTCTGCTAGAGATACTTAGTTGAAACGGCTTTAAAATAAAACATTACGTTCTAAACATCGAAAACTGGCGATGCATTAGAAACTAAAAGGCCTAATATTCGTGAAAAAAAAAAGAAATCCCGCAAACTGAAGATTTTGTTTTCACATTACTCATAATTTGTTCATTTTGTCTCTCTGTTTCTTCGTCGAAACACAAACACACTGAACCAACTAAGTTTCTACTGGCTAACAGTAACAGACACACTGATTACTCATTAACTGGTTAATATGTTTGCTAATACAATGATTCACTCTGACAGATTCAATAAATAACTCATTCTGTATATGTAACTCAAATTGTTTCCTAAGCCTCCGGCTAAAGAATGATACAAATTTCGAGAAATGTTTATATTAAAATCACAGTCTGAATCGTGTCAGAAGTGCACGTTTCACAATGACTCGTTATTTTCTAAATTTTATATGTACCTATTGGTTTGGCTAGTGAGCCAAAGCGATGTTTTTCGTTGTCATAGCACGGTTTATATAGTCGTGATACAAAAATTCATAACGGCACAAATGTTATGATCTATAGGACTACAATCAGTTTAGGTTCATTCAGAACGTACAGAACGCCTCTTCTATTGTCATCAGTAATACCACTACGTATTCTGGTCAATGCAGGTTTACTGAGACCATACGGAACTCCGGCTATTGTAAACAGTATTACCACTTTTTTGAAACGCCCTCAAAGAGTTTGTTTGTAATTAAGAACAAAGCTACACAATGGGCTATCTGTGCTCTGCCCACCACGGGTATAGAAACCCGGATTCTAGCGTTGTAAGTCTGCAGACATACCGCTGTGCCACTGGAGGGTCCCTCAAAGAGACCGAAATGTAAGTGATTGGTCATAAAAGTGAGCGATTTTACACTTTTTTTGTTGTTGAACTTTTCAAATATAAATATTCGTTTGCATGATAATTAATACTGGATTTCAGTGACCTCAACTTCTCAGCTCTCTCTCTCTCTCTCAAAATCTGAATCAATATTTCTCCCACTTTTTATATATTCTTACCTTTTGTTTCGTCTCTCGTTTTCGAAGCACTGATAATACTTATTTGACTTCCTCGTTTCATCGGCAAGGGTTGTCTACAAAAGAAAAAGTGTATTTTTTACACTAAGAACTTACGAGTGAAACAAAAGAAGAATGTGTGACGTGAACCACACTAACAGCGCCATCTGTGAAATATAGTAGTATTTGTTCGTAGAAATATTAGGTTACTGTCAGTGTAAATATACATAATAAATGTTAAGGTACATTTTATGCGAGTTAAAATTTTGTGTGTGTGTTAAAAAGCATAGAGAAAAGAGCAGTGTACCTGTTTTGGTTTTATAAAATAACAATATTTGAACTTTGATACTATTTTTTTCTAATTTGTTCAACAAAATCAATTCACTGTATTATTGTTTTCTTTTCTTTTCTAAACAATGCAGTAACAAAGTCATTCATCACATCAATTAAAATATACATTTATCGAGTATAGTAAAGATTATTTTTGTGGAATATATCACTGTCATGTGCATTTTTTACTTTCTAAAATATATAGATTATAACTGGTTTGTAAATATCTGATGTAAGTTTGCTTTTATTAAATAGGTATCACATCATACGTGGTAGAGTTTCCCTAGTCATAAAGTAGCTAAAGATATATTTAAACAACTATTTTGTTAATTAACAGCAAATTAAAATATATAGCCAAGATAACTGTATTTAGTTGAGCTCTTATTCCAGCTGCTTTGTATTTCTTTAAAGGGTGGTAAGTTGCTAGAAAATATTTTTCATACCTAATTCTTTCTCTAATAACGTTTGGCATAGCTTAGTGGTTAGAGTGCATGAACTGTTTATCCTCTGGTTCAATGTTCGCATCCCGTTGGCGTAAAAAAAACAAAAAAACTCGCTTTACACCCGTGGACGCGCTATAAGAGTGACAGCCAAATCCAACTGTTCGATCAGATAAGAGTAGCCCAAGAGTTAGCGGTGGATGCTACTGACTAGTTACTTTCTAACTGACTAGTTACTTTCTCTTAGTTCAAAATGCGGGACAAACTTGCATAAGTATCTCTCGTGTAGTTTTGCGCGAATTTTTGAAGTAAACATTTCTGAAAACACGATGAACTAAATTGACTGTCACTTTATCGTAGTTTAAGTCGTCTGTTGCTTAACTAACCATTAGGGAATTTGGGCACCATTTCTACCTTCTTGTAAACATTCTCTTCGTGTGTTTTTATATAACTTAACTGACACTCGCATTCTTTCTATTCATGAAATTGAACCCTGCGTTTTATTCGAAATCTGATATTTTAGTTTCTCAACAACTAGAATATATATTTTGCCTGAAGATTTACTCATGACATAAATTACTAAATGAGATTAAAAAGGCCACAAAAAGTAGACGCGATCTGTTCAGGTGCCCATGCATATTTTTTTTATCTGGGAGATTGCCAACAGTGATTACATTTCCAATACTGATAAGGTTGTATCTCAGTTTTGGATGCTATCTATCTCCAAGTGTCCATTCTATACACTGAAGCTAATCAATCACAGCTTCAGATTCAGTGACAAACAAGTGCAGGAGATAAACGTTGACTAACATTCAGGTGTCTTTTGGTGGTCCAAGGTATCTTCGTAAGAGTGATCCAAAATAAACATATGTCAAAAAACGGATCCTACTTTTTGTTTCTCGAGCTTTCCGCGAAGTTAAATATTTTACGACATTTGAAAGTAAATTAGAGAGCTTTCATAATCTTAATTATGTTAATTATTAACGATACAGCAGCTAATAGAGCATTAGATCCATTTATCACTTAAAACCATACAAGTCTACGATAACGACTTAACATTTATAAAATGAAAAAATATAACATTCCTATGGCAAGCGTCATCCATTCCTTCTTGACCAGGGATCCTGCCAGCGAATTTGTTCCTCTACTTAACATATCGAGTTAATTCTGCTCCCGAACTTATGCTGCTCTTGTATTCAGTTGAAAATGTGTTTTGTTTTATATGTATATACATCCTGACTTGAAACTTTACTAGAACCTCCAACACGTTTATAAAACACTTCAGTTATTTACATGTGCGCAACACAATGATTATGTGATGTGTCAGGTGGTTGTTTGGACCATAAAAATGAAATCATATTACGGTTAGTCCCAAAACAACGAGTAAGAGAAAAGGTTCTCTCTAACAGTTAAAAGGAGGTGAAGTGGGTACCAATCTAGCGGGAACATCGTTATCAAAGACCGTTTTTTTGTTGTTGTTTTTTGAGCGACTGTTCATAAACACCTGACATTAAAATCAGTCAGTTGTGGTAATGTAAGTGGAATACGTCCAAAACTAGTAAAAATCGTAGCCACGAACGGCCAGAGACGGATGGATAGACTTGTCGATTTCACTTATCACACGCAGAAATGGGAAAGCACGTCATTTAGGTGTGGACAATGCATGATTGAAGATGTTTGATGTGGCCTGTGAGTCATGTTTCACCTGGTCTGCACTGATAGTAGAGTTAAGAATATGACAAATTCCGCACAAGGCAATTGACCCTGCTTGTTTTGCTCCGATAATGCAAATTCCTGGAGTTTATAAAATGGTGTGGCAGGAGTTGGGCTTTCTTATTCCATTAGACGAGCGAATAGCATCAGAAGTGTTAGGTGAACGTTTTTTTTCGATCATGCCTATCCCACATTTCCATCCTAATAGGCAAGAACTTCTCCTGTATAACAGTTTAACAATTAATTGCACTCATCTCTCCGAAATTGATTCGAATAATGACCTTTCTTTGTTAGAACAACCACTGAATCTCAATATGATTAAGCATCTTTGTAAGAAACTTGGCAACTGCCACCGTACATTCTGCCCTTAGCAACCATCACCGTACTCTCTGCTATCACCAGTGCACCAAATGCAGACCACACTTCTCGACAAATGAGTTTCAATCGAACACAACAGTTTTATCAACACTTATTCATAATTTAAATAAGATTTTGTTTTCTTTATTAGCTTCATGAATGAGCGATCCTGTTGTACGCTCTGCCCACTATAACTTCATACATAAAGAGAAACGTGTACTTTTAGAAATATAAAAATTTGTTGTTCGAAATATTATATTATTTAAATTGTGAGCGTGGGTGAAGCAAACGATAAAACATAGCTCTGTGGCATTATGTTTTTTGATTTAAGGATAATTATTCCGAAGTTAAACCACTGTATTTTCGAACCCAGAGCAGACTTATTTTACAGAAACCTTGACTCGTAGTAGGCCTATAAAAGTCTTTTTTCATAGTTTTTCGAACAGATTGTACGAATGATATTTGAACAAAACTTAAGATCGAACACACAAAAAGTAAACTATAAAATACAAAGCTGTTGCATTTAAGCAAAACTTAGTTTTTCTGACGCACCTTTGAGTGAAGTGAGTAATAGAGTCACTTGACTGGGTTGCTGAGCACGAGGATATTGAAACGAATATAACCGCCAGAAGAGCGACACAAGGATGTTTCATTGGCATCATGAGATTCCTGCAAGAAAAACATAAAAGTAACTATTTTGTTTTAATAATTGCTCAAAGCTACACAAGGCTTATCTGCGCATATCCGTCCCTAATTTGGAACTGGTAGACTAGGGGGAAGTCTTTTGTTTGCTTGTTTGTTATTAAAACACAAAGCTACACACGGCTTATCTGCACATATCCACCCCAAATTAGGAACTGGTAGTCAAGAGGGAAGGCTTTTGTTTGCTTGTTAAACACAAAGCTATACAATGGATTATTTGTGTTGTGTCCACCACTGGTATCGAAATCCGATTTTTAGTGTCATAAGTGAGAGCGAAGGTAGCTAGTCAATAGCACCTATCGCCATCTTTTGTTCTACTCTTGTCTAACCAATTAGCAGGATTTGACTCTTACAGTGCGAATCATGAATCTTCAGCTTCACAATCCGGGAACGCCTAGCCTATGAAGTAATAATAATAATTAAAAGAATATTTTTATTGATATATGATTTTTTTTATTTAAAAAAACAGTTGCATAACATATACAGTTACAATATTGGTTTCAATCTACAAGAGAGAGATGTTTGTTTGTTTTTTGGATTTCGCGCAAAGCTACACGAGGGCTATCTGCGCTAGCCGTCCCTAATTTAGCAGTATAACACTAGAGGGAAGACAGCTAGTCATCACCACCCACCGCCAACTCTTAGGCTACTCTTTTA